TAAGGGTTAGGACAGGCAGTATGTCTGTGAAGGTTTTCATTCATCCAGGTCATGGTATATATTTGTAAAAAATAAGTCAAGGCAACTGGACATGGTGTATTTTTCTTAAAGAAGTTTCACTGGTCATCCAACCAGCTTTCTCAATTCAGAATGACTTGTACTGGTTTAAAAGATGTGTGAAAGAGGCCAACACAGCCGCAGCTTAGCAGGGAGAAGAGGATCGGTACAGGATCCAGCTTCTCCTCGGTTTCCCGCTGCTCTCCCCCACCTGTATGAGCAGAGGACTCTGTGTCCTCAATCTCTTTTTCTATTTCAAAAGGGAAATGTCAGGGGTCTGCTTAGACCCATAATATTTACCCAAAGCCCCCCCAACAGATTAAATAAATAATAAAAATGTATAAAAAAACAAAATCCCCACACACACACACTCAGACTCATGCACACATATTACTAAACACGTGCAAAGACTGAAAATTTGTTTTGGACGAAATGAATGGAAACTAAAAATGTTTTCATTATTCAATTTTTATGCTATTTTGGATTTGGCTACCAGCGCATTCTGTGCATGCACACCGCCATTCTGGAGGGGGGCGCATGACGTCACATATCGCACACGTCTGTTGCGGGGAACAATTTTCCGTTCTTGCCTCGGGCACAAAAGGAGCTAGCTACGGCTCTGTCTCTCTGGGCAGGTTATTAACACCTCCTAGCTCCAATTATGCAAATGCAATCAACACCTGGTTGCGACTAACAGATTATGTGGATTGGAGCAACATTCACCATATTAATTCCCAGATAATTTTTTGTACAAGTCATTCTGAATTGAGAAAGCCGGTGAAACGTCTTCAAGAAAAATAGAGCAAGTCCAGTTGCCTTGACTTATTTTTTACAGATATACAGGATCCAGCTTCTCCTCGGTTTCCCGCTGCTCTCCCCCACCTGTATGAGCAGAGGACTCTGTGTCCTCAATCTCTTTTTCTATTTCAAAAGGGAAATGTCAGGGGTCTGCTTAGACCCATAATATTTACCCAAAGCCCCCCCAACAGATTAAATAAATAATAAAAATGTATAAAAAAACAAAATCCCCACACACACACACTCAGACTCATGCACACATATTACTAAACACGTGCAAAGACTGAAAATTTGTTTTGGACGAAATGAATGGAAACTAAAAATGTTTTCATTATTCAATTTTTATGCTATTTTGGATTTGGCTACCAGCGCATTCTGTGCATGCACACCGCCATTCTGGAGGGGGGCGCATGACGTCACATATCGCACACGTCTGTTGCGGGGAACAATTTTCCGTTCTTGCCTCGGGCACAAAAGGAGCTAGCTACGGCTCTGTCTCTCTGGGCAGGTTATTAACACCTCCTAGCTCCAATTATGCAAATGCAATCAACACCTGGTTGCGACTAACAGATTATGTGGATTGGAGCAACATTCACCATATTAATTCCCAGATAATTTTTTGTACAAGTCATTCTGAATTGAGAAAGCCGGTGAAACGTCTTCAAGAAAAATAGAGCAAGTCCAGTTGCCTTGACTTATTTTTTACAGATAGGACAGGCAGTGTTCAAATCTACTTTACAAATTATTATGAACAAACCCCTCGCAACCCCTCCTAACATTACAAGGAAGGAAAAGCAGATAGAAATATAACCCTCAAGAAGCCAGGATACCCTAACCCAAGTAAAAGCAATTTCAACTGCAAGAAGCATTTTTTTTTTAAAATTTAGCTTATGCTATACGATTGAGATCATGTAACAAATATAAAATATGTTACCCCAATTTGGCTGTAGAAGTGGAAATACACTTTAATGTCAATTTGCCACAATTGTGGGCAATTTAAACAGAGCTTAGGGTCAACAAAATTCATAAGCAGTGGTCACCTTCAGTAATGGCCGTGTGTATTAATAATCAGTAAAGGATACAGGAAGCTAATATTATATGTAAATGTTATCTATTCCTATAAAAGTTAAGCTTGGTAAAGGTCCCTCCCACCTTAGAAGCTTTCCTTTTGGTTAGGTTTGTAAGGATGGTATGGGCAAGGTCACCTTTTACCAAGTGATTGCATATAAATGCCTGATGAAGGGACCCCGGAACATTGCTTTATGACGAGATGTGTGTACATCAAAAACATGACCACTCGTTGAAGATTTTACTTTGGTGTGCAAATAATATACTTTAATAATTGGATTTGAAGTGGCGCTATCCACTATCACTGCAGCACCCACTTTAAAAGGGACATACCAGTAAGGAGTGTGGTGGGAACCTATTTGCAACTTAACTAGACAAGGCACTAAACTAGTCACTTAACTAGGCAATAATGGAAATAAGATCTTGAGATACATACAGGATGGACGAGTAAACCAACTGGGTAGTTTGGGTCTTCATTAAGATTTTGCTATACTACCCCAGTCCACCCCTTTTATTGGAAATCTATTGATTCTGGAAAGTGGCTGCTGGTTATTCTGGAATGCATGTCAGAGCTCCTTGTTGCTTTTCACATAAAGAAGGCCTGTTCCCAGGACTACAACATTTCTTACAGCTACCAATCAAATTTAAACCTGCTTTGGACATTTTAATGTAAGTGGTGGTGCAGACAGCAGAAAAAAGTTACACAGACAGACTTTAGGAATTATTCTCCATTTGCCCATGTATAGTACATTGTGTGTGCATCTGCTGAAGGGAATTACACAAAACTCAGATTAAAGGTAAATTAAGTGATTGTTTTTTACTTTTGCACAGTTGCTGTGTTTACCTGATAGCAATAAAAGTCCAATGATTGCATTACCTTTTCTTTTACCAGGGATTGCTCTTTGAAAAGTAGTTCACACATAAATGTCTAAGAGCCCATTCATACCATGCATTTACATACATTTATGCACATAGTGGCACAATGCATTAGGCAGCACATTCAAAATACATAGGTTGCAATGCACCTCGATGCATGGAAAAATAGGTGCCGCCTGCATATTTAAACAGGTATTAGTCTATTGGAGGTACATTGGGATGGCATCACAATGCACAAGCGCATGGTAACAACTCATTTACTTTGTGTTACTGCAACACTAGTAGTGTGAATGGGTCCACAAAGTTCCAAACTGATAAGCTCTATTTTTATTTAAGACTAAAAACAGTGTGTGTCAAAACTACCCTGTTTTTCCTTGTCAGCTGGTGGACAGGTATGTGCCTTGCTGGCCATTAAGCAATTTTTATTCTAGTCCATGATTCTTCCCTGGATGCTTGTGTGAAGCAACTCAGCATCCTAAGCAGCTGATGGGTTTACGCTGGCTGTCATAGCACATTACATCTTCTGCTTACTAACTGACACAAGGAGTCTGACACAAGAAGTCATGTTACATGGGCTGTGCTGTTGTTTTTCATGTTTCTGCCCAAACTCCACAAGCAAGAAATGGTCAAATCATGTCTACCTGATTAGCTATAAGGACTGCTAGGGGGAAGTTGTCTTGGAAACTGCACTACGATCTTAACTAGGTGTTTTTGCCTACTTGCAGTATACTCAAATCTTGGTGCTGCTTGAGTCAATTCAGTGGCCAACATTGAAGGGCATAAAAAAAAACAATAAAATACTAAAATTAATTTATGTCTGCTCATTTTATATTAATGTCCAGTAACATGTTGGTTTAAAAGCTGTCTAGACCCGAGTTTTAAGTGTATGCTATTGGTAAACCCATGTTCAAAAGGTATCATAGACTTTAATCTGCATTGGCTAGAAATATATCAGGTGCATGTTTTACTACACTTTCCAGTTCACCAAAAGGTCCATCTCTACGATTAAGCCTGTGAGGGTGAAACATGTCAGAGAGGGTAGGATCTAAGGCAAAACTGTGCGGCACTTGTACTGCCTGACTAAAGTTGTTCTTAACCAAGTGACATAATTGGTGTGCAGTCTAGCTTGTTTTTGCTACTAGGTCCATCTCCACATTGAGAGAACTAACATTGTTTCTCTTACAGATTTGGGTTTTATTTGTTTTCTTTCAGATTACCTATATTAGGTTCCGTACATAGAGTGCTCAAAATGGAGTGGTTACATGTTTTACTGACTCCCACAGAGCGCTTTGTAGTAGGGCAGAAACTGTGCACTGCAGTTTTTGTGGACACTGATGCTTCAGTAATTCATATTTTGCATGATTTCCCAGCTTCATATGATGACTCTATGGTCGTAAACAGGTTATTTTGCACTTCTGAATTCAGAAAAATTCAAAACCTTAAAGTGAATCTGTCACACATGTTAAATGCTTAAATGTCTAGCTTGAGAACAGACACCAAAAGATCTCTAATGTGTATTGCCCTTGTTGGCCAGAACATCTCTCATCTGTGTGCCACTCCAATTTTCTTTCACTCTGTTACTTGGGGCTTAAATTCTGGGCTATGCCGACGCAACTGTGATTCTCTGACCAATGAGACATATCAGTGGCCAGTAAAGACACTCATATTGATAAGGGTGCAGGAAGGTTGGTAGGGATAAGCCCAGATGTCAGGGATGTCAAACACCCAATAACAAAATAAACTAAACCAAGGAATAGCAAAGATGAGGGCTTTATGGCTAATAAATGTTAAACCATGTAACTTGTCTACAATTTGTACATGTTTCTAAATTTGAAGGCTACTAGTAGGTAAAGCCTAAGTGGGATAAATTGGCAGTTCATAAGATATCACATGCTCCATTTTTTTTTTGTCCCTGTAAATCTTTTTCCATACATTATCAGTTGACCATAGGGCTACATGTAGATGTCAGATGACTGGGGTTGAGCACAATGGAATATATTTCATATGCTTACAGGAAAACTAGATTTCAACTGTGATATTTCTATTTTTTAACATCTAATTGGATGCTCTGGGCAATACCTCAGGTTTGCTGTAAAAGCTCCTCAGGACCACAATCTATATATATTAATTAACAACATGTGTGATGATACACAGATGTGCACAAAATGAATAATTGTTCTTGTTTTTTTTATCTTTACCAGATGTAAATGTAACCTTCATGCGAACAGTTGTACCTTCACAAATAATCGCCTGGCTTGTGACTGTGAGCACAACACAACTGGACAGGATTGCGAACGGTGTAAGAAGAACTACCAAGGACAGGCATGGAGTGCAGGTTCATACCTAACCATTCCCAAGGGGACTGCCAATATCTGTGAGTACCTGCCATATCTGAGCTAAGAAGCCTATTCAACAAGGCAAAATCCTTACTTATTGAATGGGTGAAATCAAGCCCCTCACTTTTTTTTTTTAATTAGACCTTATTAAGCCTCGTTATTAATTACCACATTGGTCTGATTTCTGCACAAAACAAATAGCATTGCTCTTTCTGAAACAAGTGTAACTTGCTAATTCTAGGTAAGGGTTACATGGCCTAGAAAAAAAACTGAGAGATAATTTAGCTGTACTTGAAGGGTAATGAGAATCTAACCACAATGGCTAAAATGTACTTATTTCCATGGTACCAGTTTTAACTGGACTAAAGACCTTAGATGTAAGACATACACCCAGAAAGATTATTGAAGTACACAGAGCATACTTAACATGCCCTGTCCCACCACCCACCCTCCCCACCCCCATCTCCCGCTACCTCCACCACTTTCATGAAAAATTACTGGTTTGTCATTTGGACTGTGCTCCCTAACATAGCACTTATAAACCTTGAGTTTATAAACAATGTTTGTAAAAAGCCCTTAGAAAACCCTAACCAACCCCTACCCCTAACAAACTGCTTCTGCTCCTTATCCCTTTAGCTTATTTTTTCTGCTGATTTTTTTTATTTCTATTTTTTAAAGCATTACTATATACATTTCTTTCATTTTTAATTGCATTGTTCGTACATAAAAAAAAATCCATAACAATAGAAGCCTTTATTTTCATTTGTGAATAATATTGCCAGAATTGTAATTTTAGCATTATTATGTTCATAATAAATTAAAGCATAAAAGTTATACTCTAATCTACAGTAGCACTCATTTTCATTAAAACTTAAACTGATTCAATTTAAAAATTGCATTTTTAAGGGGTTTTTTTTACATCTTTTTGTCTATAGATTGTACAGAAAATAAAGACATTATCACTAAAAGAAAACCTTGTTTGTCCCAAAATGTATACATTTCTCTGGTCCATAAGGGGTACTCAAGTGCAAAATTTTAAGTGGTTATTGCATTATTTAAACCCAAATCTAAAACTCCACAGCCACATAACAAGAATTACTTACAGTATGGTAAGGTATTTCATACTGCTGTCCCTCTTATCTGCTTTTCTAGGGATAAAATAGTTGTATACCCCAAGCTGTGTTCAAAATCTGCACAATGTGCATGCCCCTCCCCATGCAGTGACATATCAAGCAACTCTGAGTACAGACATGTGGCATGAATAATGGTACTCTTCCCAACACTCCGCCCATTCCTTGAGTGACAGGCAAGACGAGACCAGTAGACGCTTTGATTTGGCATTGCACGTTAGCAATGTGCACACAATGTATCATGGGCATCGCCAGGATGGGGGAAAGATTGGGCATGCACTAGCCAACCAGAAGTAAGGAGGATGCACTGCACCACAAGATGGAGCAGTGGAAAGTTAATTAAGAAAAATGTGTAAATTGCAAATGAAGTTGGGAAAAAGTAATGAAATATTAGATTATATTAAAGGCATTCTAATTGAAAGCTTTGTTTTATAACAAGGGTTTGATACTTCTTTAAGATATGCCAAGCTCCTCTGCCAATTGTCTTCACTTATCACTTCCTGCTGTGGCTATCCAACAGGAAATAAAGGCAAATATCCCCAATAGTACAGAGATGGTAAAAAATCTGATAGGGGTTATAACTCTCCCTTTCTCTACCGAAAATGAAAAAAATAAATGTTCTGGCTTTAGTTCAACTGTAAAGAATGGTATTGACTATAGTTGCAAATTACAGGTCAGTGCACCTGAACTGCAGCATGCAGGACCAAAACAATAATTATGGATTTTTTCTTGTCCATGCATTATGCCTGCACTACAAACATTAGCACATGCAATGCATCCAATGTAATCAGCCCTCAATTAGGAAAAATAAACCTTGTTTTTGGACAACTTGCAAATCCCCTTTAAAATGGGCATACTGTACATGGCAGCATTTGAGTTTCTTTTGTTCTTTGTGTCCACCTTATGATAGCTCCCCCACCATTCCCAGCATTACCATGTAAAGTGAATGTTCACTAAGCTTAGTAGTAAAGTAAATAAGGTGAAGTTGTGTTTACTTTAATCCACCAATCATGCCTTGGCAAAACCCCATTATATTTATTTCCTTTACACATGGCTGGGTGTTCAATGTGAAAGGAAGCATCCATTAAGTGAGAAGCCCCTATTCCTTTAATAAATCAACTCTATTGTGTCTCACTCATGTACCACTATGGAAAAATAAGCATTAAGCAGTTGCATTTATGCACACTGAATAAATAGCTTTATATTTTAGGATGTGCTATAAATCAGCACTTCTAGATGCCTATTTGGCATAAGATAATAGAGGGAATATTAACATGATTTTATCCACAGTCTGAATGTGGGATGGACCTTTTTTCTGATGGCATGGTGGATGCACCATAGATGTACCTTTGGCTATTGGAATAAAAAGGAATGATTATGTGATAGAAGGAGACATGGTAATTTCTTCAGTTATAAGAAGGCTCTACTTTGCTATGCAATGCTTCAGTGGGGGGCTTTTTGGTTCCCTTTATTTCTTCTAACCATAACCTTCTAGGTTATACTTTCTCAAGTCCTACTCTGTAAAAGCAATGGTTTCCATACTGCATTAATGATGGCCAAAAAGCCTGAAACAGCTGAATGCAGTGTGGAGCAAATGCTTTATATATGTTTATCCGATTAACCGATTAATCGAACTTAATAATCAGCTAACTAATCGATTTTGAAAATAATCGTTAGCTGCAGCTCTATAGTAATAGGCTGTATCTGTACTATACACCAATGGTTCTGGATATACTGTACTGTTGGCTATTGTGGCAAAAAGGATCAATTTTACTCTACTGAAATGAGAACTAATCCTCTTATTTTTGAGACTTGTTGGAATGAGACATAAACACCTTCTCTTAGACAAAGACTCTACGGAGCTACTTAAAAGTATGTCTTTAGAGTGTATCTCTAAGGACATATAAATACTGCCAGTTTTAGAAAGGTTATACAGTACTTTTATGTCTCCGTAAACTGTAATTAAGCATACACATTGTTATGACACTACCTCATTTAGAAAAAATAAAAATAATGTCACATTAATAGAGCATTTTAGGAGGGCAAATGTTAACAAGGGCTGTTTTGAAGGCAAGCATTCACGGAGGTGTTCAATCAATGAATCTTTGACTGCTTTCTACTATCATTCTGCTCAATTAATTTTTGTAGTATGGAGCTTAATCTGAGGGCATATGACAGAGGGAACAAGAGGAAAAATGATGCTGATATGAATTTAATCTAATAGAAGCAGGAAATGTGTGTAGCAGCTGACCTAGTCTGCCCGTAACCCATTAACCAAATGATTTATGTCTAGCAAGACTTGCCTTGAAAGCATTGAAGTTAGAATTCAAGACTCGGAGGTCCACTGAAGTAAAAAACTATGAAATATGGCGCTTTAAAATACAGTGGGAAGCATCTTTGTTCCAGGTTATCCTGTACATGCAGGACAACATTTAATATACAAATGCTATATGTATGTGCTACTAAATACCTGCAGAAAAAGGAGGGGCATTTAGCATCTATTAAAGTGTATCATTAAGTTTTTATTTCTGTCTGTGTCTCGCTGGGGATATTTGTCCTCCGTATTTGTCCTGGTGACCATAACTGGGACTTAAGTTGGCGATACATGCTTTAAATTTCTCTCGTTCAGCCTGGGCTGGATACAAGAAATTCATTGACTCCCCCATCCAGGAATACCCGCTGTCAGCTATTGTATTCAACAGCTGCCGTTCTAGAGGCTGTTGAATACCCGAACAGCATATGCATCTGTTTGGATGCAGGCAATGTTCATTCAATAATTTTTGAATCAGTTCCTTTGACAGAAGCCAATGGAAAAATGGAGCAAGGGGGATACTGACAGGGCAACCCACATTTCGAATTTTGGCCAATTCTGCAAGAATTGGCCAGAATTTAAGGAGTATATGGCCATCTTAAAAGTCAGTGAAATTGGTAAAGTTTGACTTATCCCTGGAAGGAAATTCTTCCAATAGGAACAACCTTTTACTTACTGTCTTACTGTGGAGAGATCCCTTCTGTAGCCCATGACAGAAAGGGGAAGAAAATAACCCAAATGTGACACAGAGTATCAATGCTGTATTTACACTTATGCATTTCCTCGTTGATGCGTTATCCATTGAAATTAAGCAAAGCATATCAAAACACATATTCTGAATATGTTAAAGCACATTATCACATACATTGATGCACATTGTGACATGCTGACATGTTGATTTACATTATAATGCATTGATGTGCATCATGAGACACATTAATGTGTGCCCTAGTACACATGTTTAAGCATTCGCATTGATCACAGAAAAATTTATAGGTGTGAATCTATCCTAATGGAAAAAAACTGCTGAAGGTATAAAAAGCCACCACTTAGAGGTGCCTACACATACCTGCAATAGCCTCCAAAAACCTGTATTTAGGTTCAAATTCCAGGCTGTACTTACAGGCTAAGCCCCAGAACTTTTTGACTTTTCCGTTCATTCCTCCCTCCTGTGTATTCCTATTGGTCCGGGAGGCAGCCCATCATAAGGATAGGCCAATAAGAATGTTTGGACATGGGACATAGTCAGTCCCAACAAATACGTTTTTATTTTAGTGACAGAGTTTCTTTAAAGTCCAAACATCAGCAATGTGTCTGTTTGTTTATTTGGGCAGAGTGGGGATGAGTTTAAACCACTATATAGTTTTTATTTCAGTCTATGGCCTCATCAGGTAGACATCCCCTCACTTCTTGCTCCAGTAACCAGGGCAAGTGGGACAGGAAGTGAGGGGAAACCTCTCCACAGCCAATAGCAACTGGCTGTGGAGAGGTTTCTGTTTATTTGCAGAGGGGGACACAGTACTTTTTTTATCACTGTTATCTCTTTCTATACTCTCCTGTACCAGAAAGCCCCATTCTCATTTTTTTGCACGGGGGATAACAAATGAATAGAAATCTCCCCAGTGGGGCCACATATAGCAATAGCAACTGACAGGAGTCTGGCCCTTCCCCAATGAATCCACAACAGAAACATTTTGGCTGGAGTTGATCTATAAAAAAGAATATGATGTTTAATAAGGATCCAATGCTTTAGATGCTGAATGTGGTGATGAAGTGAAAGCATTGCACTTTTCTGTGTCCCTGAACTGACAATGTCAAATGGCACACGATATATTGTAGAACACTGCAGAGTTGCATAGAGCTCTCATTGTTTTCTAAGCACGATTATGAGCACAAATATGCCAAGCTTGCCCACTTTCTAAATATTATGAGCACAGTATAATCAGCATGCAACTTTACACTGACAGATTTGCGTTAAGCATAGAGCATATATGCATTAAGGGGAAACTATTTGTCAACCTATCTTTTCTTGTTCTCTTTCACAGGTGTATCCAGCATGCCCAGCAGTGAGTACAATCTAACAGTTTGATGTACCATATTTCCTGTCCTCTCCAAACATCCATCAGAGACATGCTACACCGCAAAGATAGGTGCAGTCTGCAGGAAAGACAGGATAATATTTGCTGCATTTCCATGTAAAATTGAATCAGAGAGAATGGAAGATACGTCTTTTGACAGGTCTGACAGAAAGCGGATCAGCCTGCCTGTATAAGGTTTTATTTGCCTGAAATATTCTTCACAGGCACAGAGCAAAAGAACGAGGCAGACAAACGTACAGTCACAGAGACAGACAGATAATGAAATCAGTGCAGATAGATAGATGAAGTAAACACATGGAAACAATCTATTTCAAACAATCACATTACCTTCAGGGTAACTGGGTTTTATTTAAATAGACAATTCTAAAGGATACATTTTTCCTGCCAGTCCTAATCAGTCGCATTTAAACTTATATTTCTTGTCCTGCACATTCTCTGTGTATGGCCATATGCAAAGAGCATTCTAGTGCACACAATATGTGCTTTGGTGGATGTTTGGTGTACATTTTGCATGATGTAGATGCTGCTTATTTATTTTATACCATTCAGTCTAGCATGTTTCTTGTGTCTGCTCATAACAAAACAGAGAATGGTGTCCCAAAGAGTCACCTAAGATCATTCTTCATGGTCCTAGCAATTCAGCCCTGTGCATCTAACCCAGAAATAGTCAACGCCCAAAGCTAACTTTACTGACCTATTCACGCAGGTTCTCTAACCTTAGCCACACTGTATGCAGCACTCTGCCATATAACAGTTCACAACTATCTAACTAATTTCACCATCTTTGTATGGATCCTTTAGGAGTAGAAACTGATCACTTAGAAATGTAATGTTCTATTAGCTTTGTAGGAGCCTGTGGTTACAGGCTTTTGTTTGCTTCAGAACTGTTTCTCTTGCCATATAAGTTAATAAGAATGCTAAAGAAGCTTGGAGCAGGTTGATGCAGCTTAGTAGAAAGTCAAATGCAGGTCAGAAGGAGGTCTGCTGCAGGCCATTTAATCTCAGTAGCATATCAAACTGATATGAATACACCTGAAAGCAAGCTGCATTTGCCCATTAACAAAAGCGCTAAATAGGGTGAAGTTATATTCACTTTAAAAACCCAGTTATTTGCAATAAAATTTAAAACAGTGGATTTTTGCTTGCACATGGTTGAATGAAAGAAGTGATTAAAGTGGTCACTGTGTCACATATATCTTACAAAGTGAACAGTCTATTTCTTTAGTAAATCAACCCTATTGTGTTAATAAGTACCATGTGTGCATTATTATTACCACTTAAAATGACAAAACCTTGCCCCCTGGTGCCCAACCTGTGGCCTGAGGGACAAATGTAACCTTTTGGCACTTTAAGTGGACCCTCAGCAGTTAGCCTCATTACATATAATAAATATTATGGGCAGCCCTTTAGGGGCCACATTTGAGTTATACCTTGCTGCATTAAGCAACACACCAGATTCACACAACTGTATTTATCCTTGAGGTTTACCTTACCAATACAGAAACATACTAATAAGGTAACTATCCAGTAGCATACAATAAATCAGATGTGTGCATCAATGGGTCTATTTGTCTACTTTATTTGCCCAGAAATGTTGTCTTCAAGCATGTTTATTTTAATATATTAATTTATTTGTATATCCCAAGAGGTGAAATTATAAATCACACTATAGAGAATATTAAAGTACTTCATAAATGTGAAGGCTACCTTCCTCAGCATTTTCTTAGCCAACATAAAGTATGTCTAAAGCCAAAACTTGTTTTATTATTTTCCTTTTGGATAGAGTAGGGGAGGTTAAAACTGCTGTCATTTTATGGCATATATGTCTCATTGGGGTTGATTTTCTAAAGGCAAATAGATTGCTCACTTTGCAAGGGGATTTTCCCTTAGCTTAGTGAATGTGGTAAATGTTCACTTTCCCAATCATCTGCAAGTAAAACAAAAAACAACAGTATTTTCGCTTGTGCATGATTGGATGATGAAAGTAAGCAGAGCTTCAAGGTAAAATTCCCTTGCAACGTTAATATCCTATTTGCTTTTTGTAAATCAACCCCATAAGAGAGATTTCCCTTCACTTACTGTCCTGTAGACTTAAGAAGAAGTGAGATGATATCTTTTTAATGTGAGGGAGTTGTCACAGAAACAAGTTGTCACAGAAACAAGTATCCACATTGTAAGATTTCCCCTCTATTCCCGCTGTTGTGGCAACTCAACTCAAAATGTGGGATTTACTCTCACTTTCAATCGTACTGACATTGATGATCAGGACAAGTAGAAAGAGTGGCAGTGGTTCACCTCACCACTCTCTACACCTAAAAAAAGTTTTGCCTTTAGTTATGCTTTGATGTAAACTGTTCATTTTGGCCAAGAAATAAATAATCTTCTAATAAAGGTAACTTTAAACATGCTCTTATCCTTTAAACACTTATTTCCAGAATATTTACATTTAGCAATCATATGCAGTATGTAACCATCAAGTGTCATATATTACTTCTTATTAAACACATTAGCAATACATTATTTCCCATGATAGTCAACTGGGACTGCCAGTAGTACGTAGGTTAAATTTCACTTTACAAATGCAGCTACAATAACTAGTGTGGGTACTGTTAAACTGGCCACAGACAGACAAAAGAATAGCATCTAATTGTCCTCAAAAACACTGACATGTAGCCGAGACCTACAGCAGTCTTCTCCACAGATAGGCAAATGAGTGTAAAATAGGCAACACACTGTAAAATACTTACCATTTTCTCTATAAAAAAAGTTCACAATGAGCTCCTGCCAAGATTCTCAAAATAGCTGGTAAAACCAGTGTATAATAATGAGCTTTCCCTATGCCCCCATGCGATTATTACCTTTGAGGGAAGCCCAAAAGTGCCTGATCTAGGCCCAATTGTGGCAAGTGATGGTCACATAAAGGCATATCTGGCAGAGATCACATCATGTTTGATTACGTATATTACTTGGTACCTATTATCCTATCTGAATGTGGGAAATGATTACTGGTTTCATATGCCAGAACCTAAATGAAAAACCCTGTGATATGACATGGACATTGAGAAAATAATTAAATAATGTCTGACATTAATTGGTGAAGTCAATCTCTACATTTTCATACAGTGAATATAACATTTCTATACAGAAATAAGTTACAGGGCTGAGCCCGGGCTAAGACACAAGACATATTCCATCCCATGGGGTAGTTTGGGGAATTTGTGACAACTCTTTACTTTTGCACAGAAATAATATAATAGATTTATCAGGTATAGATGCATAGCTAAATATGTCCCCGTACTTATGATTTAATTGACTAAATTAGCACAACGTGTCTTTTTATGACAGCTGTACAAGACAAAAAACGGAAGCAAACCATCACTGCAGGTAACAATTTTATGATATTTATACTGTATCTATACATGCATACTTATATATGGGCAAATACTATCTTCTAGAGTGTATATACATATACACTACACATTTGTGTTTCATCTGATGTTCTTTCCCATTCTGAAATTGTGTGAGATGGTCAACCTATAGAAAAAGAGTTTGTGTACCGTATTTGAATTTTCTCATTCCCTGTGTAATTATCCAGAAAGCTGGTTTGCACAATTTTTACTAATAGGTAATTAGAGCATGACAATTCCAATGCATAATGCAATCCATGCCTCTCCTTTATAATAACTCGTACTCCACAGCCTCCCCCTAGCGTAGCAATATCAGTTCTTGTGCTGAGCAGCCATTTAGAATATGCTGCCTGGCGCCAAGTGTCAGCTTAAGGTGGGGTGGGCTGGAGCTATAGCCACGAGGGAGCTCCATCCATACATGCATTGCTTACAGCTCCCTCATGTGACCTTTGGAGGTGCCTTGACTGGAGTGATGTCACATTCTGGCTCCTATCACCTCTACAGGGCATGCAAGGGAGTTGTACAAGCAATGCACGTATAGATGGAGCTCCGTCACAGCACAGCAGCCCAGCACTGGACCCCAAGCTGAGGATCGCCCGCACCGGAATGCACGGTACCGCAATGCCGTGCGTTCCATTGCAGTGCGACTTGGGCCGCCACTTAATGTCTAAGGACAAATGCGGGTCCTGAGGTTACACAGGTTGAGAACCATTGGTCTAAAACATATTGTTTTCAAAATATCGAACATGACAAACTGCTCTTATTACAAAAATGATTTGGAGACTCTTCTCCCAATTGAATCCACATTACAGCTCAACTTTTTCCTGCTCCACTCCTGTACATGATCCCTTTGTGACTATAGTTCTAAATAATGACTCCTAATTTCTCCTTGACACGCACAGCGCCTCCAAACTTTGATAGGATAAAGACGAATGCTTCTTTCCTAGACGTTGCAAACAGAAAGCAAGGTAGGATGTTATATAGGCTCATTCATGGTAATACAATCCATGTAATCCAGGTGAATCCAGGGTTTCTCTTTTTACTGTACAGGTGATAAAAGAGTAAGGAACAGCACTGGAGTTGTAGATGATAGATGAAGTAGACTTCAGTGTGGTTTATCAGACATTTATTAAAGTGTCACCTATACAGCTGAAACAGCCAGGAATCTTACAGGAATAAATAGTCTTATCATTGATATTGATATTTAGATAAAATAGATAGGTTTAAGGTAAATATTCTTTTTAGTATGCTATTGTTTTATTTAATTTTTTTATTGTTTCTATGTATAGTTTATAATTGTAAATGTAAATGAGCAAAACTTTATTTGTTCATTACATACACAGATTCTGCTTCCCGCTTTGCAGCACTGCACAAAGACTGTGCTTTAATGCTCCTTCTCACAGTGCAAGTCTATGGGCCTGATTTACTGAAAGGAAATGCACAAGTGAAGGAATAAATGGCTGTTAGGATAAGTGGCAGGCATCTCTTGCTGGTTCACATGATCGTGAACCTTTGCATGCCTTATGAATGCAATGTCTCGACTGATCTAATTAAACACACACTCTTGTTAAACTGGACCTTCTCTGTCAAAGCTAGAAATTCCTGGTACATCCTGCACTGTATGCTGATCTCTAAACATCTTTGCATCTAATGTAAAATAAACATTTCCTTTTTTACTTACTTTTTTTTACCTTTTCCCTTTCCTGGTATTTTACTAGTGATGTAGCCAGGGCCTCACAGTTGACCCCTAGTAAGGCTACATCTCCGGTGCTTTCCAGGTAGATCTCATTTCTGACATGTGATTTCTCAAAAGATCTTGGGGACAAAAAAGGGTATTATTTTCAACAGATAAGTGTTATGTTGTACGGCACTTGGATGAGATCAAGAACATGATGTCTGTGCTGGATTTTGTGCTGTAAAATATTATACTTATCTGTTATATTATACTTCTGCTGAAAAAAAAGCCTCTCCTCCCAAGAACTCCTGAGATTTTGCAAAATATCATGAGAACTCAAAAAGATTTTTTATAACAGGTGAGCGTAATGTAGTATGGCACAAGCGCAACATTGGGCACAGATGTCATTGGTGACACAGCAGAGAATAGGGAAGAAAAAAGCTGGTCCTGATTATGTTTTGTTTTTTTTAAATGGTGGCACAGGTTTCTGACCTGTGGGGTTGCGCGGGGGGGGGAGGGGGGAGGGATTGGTTGGTGGCCAAGGTGCTTAGTCTGGGAAAACAGTGCAGGAAGGAGGAAAGTAAGTACTACTAACTATATTTAGTTTTACTAAAGACATTGCATTAATGTAGTCGGCTTTACGGAAGGCAGTTCCTGTTTGCAGTATGCATTTTATGTCCAGACAACAATGTTTTTGTGCCTTATATGCATTATTGTGTATCAAAAGCCTTGAATGGAGGAATCTATTAGATTTCTCTTTCAGCCCACATTAGTGCATGGCTAGCTTAAGACAGGATTTCCCTTACTTTGCAGTGATATCTTCTAAGCTTCTGTTTTGCCTAGACACAGGAAGTAAAGGAAAATCTACCTACCTGAATAGAGACAATTTACATTGTACATACTGGTATTTGTCAATGCAACAAGCATTCAGAAGCCATGTATGAAATCACGTACGTGCCAGAGCCTTCACTTCTGCCCATGTCCACTGTGGTACCCTCTGCCAAATTAAATCAGCCGTACCAGCCTGAAGTGAATAGCCGAACAGTGTTCGGCTCACTTCACTTCTGATCGGTCATTCACTCGGCTGCCCTCGGCAGCTTTGTGAATAGACCCCTATGTCTTTTTTACTTTCTGCCACGTGCTAATATTGGGAAAATACACTTGAGTTGTTTGGCCTAGTTTGTGGGCCCATTGATGTGATGACGAACAGTAAATTTAGCCTTATAGGTCAGCCAATCTATTAAAAATAAGACATTTCCTGTGTGGGTGCTGTCTCAGCAGTTATTATGCAGGGATGTTGAATGAGTCACATACAAAGCTACCTCTATTGAATGGTCTAAAGATTTATATGTTTAACACTAAGGATGCACCGATACCATTTGTTCAAGACTGGATAAGAGTACCGATACTTTTCCTCAAGTACTCGCAAATACCAATTACCTGGGCACATGAAAATGCATCCCTATTTAAACACAACAAAAACAAATCATGAAAAAGAAAGCATTTACAAATGTGAACAATACAAATTAAATAGAAATGTAAAATGCCTTCCACTGGTTGACTTAAATAAACAGGTTTTCTAGTGTAGTGAATCCTTAAAAAAATCAACTCCTTTATCTAATTTTCCATTTACCGTATATACTCGAGTATAAGCCGAGATTTTCAGCCCATTTTTTGGGGTGAAAAGTGCTCCCCTCGGCTTATACTCGAGTCAGCGCCAGCGCATCATCTTACTTACCTCGCCGAGCGTCGTGTCATTGCTGCTCCGGTGTGCGGCGCTCCGAGCGGGGTCATCTGGCAGTCTCCGGGTCCTAATATAGGTGGCCGGAGACTGCCAGATGACCCCGCTCGGAGCGCCGCACACCGCAGCAGCAGCGACGCTCGGCGAGGTAAGTAAGAAGAAGAAAAACCCCCCCGCAGCGGCCAGTCAGGCAGGGGAGCAGGGATGAGTCAGCGGCGCGCTGATCAGGCGAGAGGAGCTCCAGGTGGGGTTGTAATTTAGCGGGCAGGCACCTCTGAGCCAGCTAAATTAGGACCCCACCTGGAGCTCCTCTCATCTGATCAGCGCGCCGCTGACTCGTCCCTGCTCTCTCCGTGATGTGATGATCCGATCACCGGCACACAGTGAGTGAGGGGAGGGAGGGAGGGAGGGGGGTAGAGAGAGAGATTCATTAAGCAATTATATATGTATTGTCTGCACTGTATTAGCAGTATATACTCTATATAGAGTATATACTGCTAATACAGTGCAGACAATACATTTACAATTATACTAACATGAATGTATTAAATGATCTGTATGTAGCCCTGTACTATGGATCATTTAACCCATTCATGTTAGCAGAGGATCATTGTAAATGTATTGTTGCAGGCACTCTATATGTACATGTACTATATACTACATATAGAGTGCACTGAACAATAGATTTACAATTATCCTCTGCTAATATGAATGGGTTAAATGATCCGTAGTACATGATATGTAGCCCTGTACCCCCTTTTCCACTTACAGAGCTAGGTTATTTTTCTTTTAAATAAATATTAATGTAATTTTATTGGTATCTATCTACCATTAGCTGCCTCATTTCCCACCCTCGGCTTATATTCGGGTCAATACTTTTTCCCATTTTTTTTTGTAAAATTAGGTACCTCGGCTTATATTCGGGACGGCTTATACTCGAGTATATACGGTAAATTAAAATTCCTAATCTACTTGCACAAAACTGATTAGAGATCTGTGATACAGATTTTCCACTTTAAACATTTATCCATGAGTCACAGCAAAAATTAAGGCAACTATACTGCACAGACTGAAAAGCAAAACTAATCATGATGCATTAGTCATAGTGAGCATTAAACACAAACATGCATTTTACTCCTAAAGGCTCATACACAAAGGTGTATTAAATTGCTCCCATCTCTACTGCATCTTTCTGCCAGAAGCTTTCTGCCAAAATGCAGTATTTTTGGGTGCAATTACACGTGTTTACACATTTACAATGCTTAGAGGTTTATACATGTAAACTAATTACATTGGCTAGACTTTTCATTTCTTCTAGATACTAGAATGATTTTATATGCATACACACGTGTATAAGTGTGTTAACATGTTTTTACATGCATATTCATGTAAATTATCCCAGTAAGTTTCTCTTTGAATGCAGTTTTTGGGCATTTTATATTTATGCCACCGAGAATTGCTCTAAAATAAGGATCTAAAGGCCACAAATGCAAGGACACATTGGCGAAAATAGAACTGTGTTCAGAGGCAAAAAAAGAAATTCCTCTAAAAGTGGTCTTTTACCTGCCCGTGTTCATAAGGCCTAACATGTAAACTCCTAAGGGTTGGGATAACCTAAATGCATTCATTCTCTACACTAGGCCAAGTAAAATAAAACACATAATACACAAAACATAAAACATTTCTAGAAGTATAGCTATAAAAATTAGGACATTATTTGATATAATACACATGCATAACACAGCAGGTAGCTATCCCTTTTATATAGAGACTATCATATAAACCATAGTATGTATATTTTTATTATGTAATGATGTATCTATATAACTAGTAATAAATTGTTATAATTAGCATAATCATAGAAAATTTTCATATACATTGTTTAGACATTTTAATGCTACTTAAAGTAGTATTAAACGCTCAAACCTTTATTCATTATTGGTTCCAGATCAAACAAATATATATTGCTCAGCAATATAAGTATTTATTTATTTTTTTGCCCAAGCGCTTAGGCCCGGTTCACAACTGGGCGTTTTGTAGAGCGTTTTGTAGCGCGTTCCTACGCTTTGCAAAACGCTCAAACACCGAAATCCCATTATTTCCTATGGGTATGGTTCACGCCTGGGCGTATTACAGGCCGTATGAACACGCTACAAAACGCCCTACGCCCAAAGAAGTACAGGAGCTTCTTTGGGGCGTTTTTGTCACGCGTTTCCATTGGGATACAGCCAAGTAGCCCTCGGAAACGCATGTTTGTGGTGCATTTTTTTACCGCGAATCGCGGTAAAAGCGTGCGACACGAAACGCGCGACAAACACGCATATTCAATACGCCTAGGTGTGAACTTAGCCTTGCAGTCTTCATGTTTTCATACAGCTGGCTAAAACTCTCAGCTCAGCTTACCTGAACTTCCTATAAAGAACAAGATCACAAGGAACAGCACAGTCTCCAGCAGCTGTCTATCTAGGAAAGAGGAGGGGGAGAAGGGAAGTTGCTTGCCTTGCTGTGCCTGTGTGTTTGTGGAGCTTAATAGCATAGACAAGAGTGGCTCC